ATTAAATGTTATTCCAAGGTAAAAAGCAGGTCCTTGAGACGAGCATGAGGAAACCAGGACTACAGATTTCTTTTAGTTCCCAGGAGATCCATTTTAGAAAGCAGCTATCATTGCTGCATGACTGCCATGGAAATTTTTATTGTCATCCCATCCCAGTGAGCATCACCACACTTTCCCCACAGACTCGGGACTCCATTGGCACACACAGGTTATCTGCAGAAAATCCAGTGAACAAAGTCAGGCTGATTGGAACACCTTTGATTTCCTAATCAGCAAGTGCTGTACCACAAAGACAAAGGCAAGCCATAATGCATATTAATAAATTAATCCCTGCTGTCAGCAACTGCTATTTTTCTGCAAAATTTTACAGTTGAAAATCCAAACTGCTGCAGCCGTCCTAAGAGGATGGGTGCAACACTGATGAGGGGAGCATTAGTTTGTTTCCCTCACTCCCAGGAATCCCAGGCACAAGCCAGGGCTTCGTCACAAACACTTCTGCCAGTGTAGAACAGGGACCTGCTGAACAGCTCAGTATGCACAACACAGCCAGCCAGACTGGCATCCTGTGCTGAATACTTCGGGTTCTTCACTTCCTCCAGCAGCACCGAGGTATGCACCAGCACCAGCTTCCCTCAGTTCATTTGCAGTAGCTGCCAGGTCCCGGAGGGAACACAGACCGGGAGCACAGAAGAATGTCAGCACAGTCTGGCACAGAGCTCTCTTCTGCCTGTACCAATGCACCATTCCCAGGCAAAGGAGTCTGGGGCGCAGGAGACAATATACAAAAGCAAAGGCCTCCCTGCACTTCAGCATCCTGCTGGTAAAAGGGGCGATATTCTGTGCAGTGTTTCCATTTTAAATAAAGGTCTTGCAAACAGACCTTTTTTTAGCTATTACAGAAAAAGAAACAGCCAGATGCTGTGTTGCGGCTTTCTGCACAACCTCTGCCTGAGAACGGACATTGTGGTAACTTCTGAGCAACAGACCACAAAGAAATATTTAAGAACATCTGATGACATGCTGGGAGAGCTGAAAGTTCAGAGACACCCCAAGCCAAGCATCTCAGGCAGCTTCCAAATGCTGCAGAGGGACCAGCAAACCCAAGCTAGGCAGAGGCACCACTTGGAACCTGCTGAGACAAAACCAGAGGACAGACTTCCTCTGCTCTGGTTTCACGAATCCCCATTCTGGTTTCACAGACAAGCTCCTGGACCACGTGTAGTCTACTGGTACATGCTGGGAAGCACAAGCACACCAGAACAGGCACTTCTTGTTGCTTCCCAGCATTCTTCAAACCAAGGGATCTATCCCGCAGAGCTGAAATCATGACAGGTAGGAATGGGTTTAAGTGCTGCCTTAAAACAATCGTGTCACTCTTTTGCAGACCTAGTTCTGGATTTTCCTTTTTATCATCGTTCACCTCCTCACTCTGGAATCAGTAGAAAAACTCATCTGTAAGTGGAACAAGCAGATGTGCATTAACATCAATATCATCAGTGACTTGCAGGGAGCAGTTTTACGGAAGAAGCTTTGGGTTTACATCTCACTTAAGGCTGAGCTTGCAGCACGTACTTCAGAAAGGCAATAAAATTTCTTTTTTACCTATAAGCAAGTGGCTCAAATATGTAAGTTTTCCCAAGGTTTTTAATTACACAAGTGATAACAATGATCTCTGTTGGCTAGACATCTAAGAGCATTTTATACTGAAAGCATCTTATTTCATCTTCTAGCTTTTTCATCAGCACAATTATAATAAAAAGAACATTCAAAGGAACCACTTATATTTCACACTTCATTGACAAGTTACCAGTCAAGCAGCACAGGCTTCAAGCACATCTGAAGTCACTAGGAATTTTAGTAAATCTCTACATAATCTCAATGAAAATGTTCTTCAAACACAAAGATCTCCAGCAGCTGGGCCACCTTACACTCAGAAACAAAGCCCATTCTTGCTGAAGCAGTTATAGTGAAAGCTGGAATATGTAGGTCAGCAATCTAAGAAGGGCTATGGCTAAGACAAAGTATCAGATTGATTCATAATGCTCTTTGATTGCTAATCCTGTGCAGAACTGTGATTTACATCACTCTACCAAAATCTGAGGGCTATGGAAAAGATTCGTGCACTTTTTAGAAGATCATCAAGACAATTCTGTCTGATCTTTCACTGTGAAATTTATGAGTGTTGAGAACAGGAAAACGACATTTTCACCAAGAGCTGTGTGCACCGCTGAGCCTCTCCTGTGGAAAGGGAGGAGGACCATTACTCAGTGGCATCATTCCTGCCCTTCCCAAAGCTGCCAATGCAACAGATCAAGGGTGTCAGGAGAAGCACTGGACATCAAAGAACTTGAGTTCGAATATCTCCTCCACGTCAGTCAGCCTGCAAGCAAAGAGCAGGACAACCTGACATGGATTTGGGCCAGCACCCATTACCATCCTCCAGTTCTTACAGCCTGGAGCAACACAGGAGCTAGGTGAGATATGTGCTGCCAAATGCCTGTGGTTAAAGGCGCCAGTACGGGCAGTGCCATGGACACACTCCCTCCAGCACAGGGCTGCCCTTCAGTGTCCCTCTGTCTTCCAACAGAGGCCAGCAGGGACATAAGCCTCTGAATATCCAGCAATCTGCTTCTGCAGCAGTTTCTCTTGCGCCACTGTCTCAACGACAGAGTTAAGATACGAAACATCACAAGGTGCATTTGCTTTGCCCTTCATTAGACCACCCCTGTCCACCTCATACTGGCACCTCTAATTCCTCCCACGCATTTCCCACTCCTGCAGGAGATGACTCTGCCAGCAGTCACTGCAAACCAAGGTTTAAGTACTTGCCTATTTTATCCCTAGAAAACTAGGTCTCTGAGAACAGTAATACACTTTCATTTCCGCTGTTTGGTTTTAACAAAATTAGAGTATTTGCAAACAAACAGTAGCCACCAGAGCAAGCAACTTGCTCATCAGAGATTCATCAACACCTTTGTGTCAAGGAATTAGGTAGAGATGATCACATATTTCTCCTGTTTTCTGAAACCTCACATTTGCTGCCAGCAGAAGACACATACACGCCCAGCTGAGCACTGCAGCTCCAGTGGTTATGTGGCAGCTCACTGCACTGGAGGTCCATCTCCATTTTCAGACAAGCCACCTCTTTTGTCAGAGGCACACCTTTTGGCACTAAATGAAGGAAAGAAAGCCAGCAGATAGATTTATGTGGAACCAAACTGCACTCCTGCATAGCTGTCCTGTCCCCAGCACTGACAGCAGCTGTGCCAGAGGTCCCCCAGCACACACCTGAGCACTGCGGAGCTGCTTGTCTCTGCAGCACCATCACCAAACCAACTCATTTGCTAAACCAGAAGGAAATAGATGATTTACCTGGACTCAGCACCTCCATCACCTCCAGAGCAGCAGCTTGTGCCACAGCAAGGAGAGCAGTTGCCCAGAGCAAAGGAGCCCAGGAGACAGGCTGTCTGCTCTCAGAGGTCCCCAGGTCTGCTGACTTCAACCCCTCAAGCCCTCACCCTCCAACATTAAGAACTGCAGCTCATAAGGAAAGTTTGCCTCATTAGACACTGTTGGCCTCTGTCCCAGGGGCCTTCTGGGGAAGATTGTTCCTGGTAATATTCTTCCTCCTAAGGAACAGTTAGCATCATTCCTATCTATATGAACTTCTCACTTATTTAAAGCTTCACCTAAACCTTCCCTGACACAGTGATGAAGCACAAGGGATGTGTGTTTGTTACCTTGTCCTGGACCCCAGCAGATGAGGGCAACTCTCCAAGATGCACAGCAAAGCTCAATAAAATAAATGGTTTAGCAGCAAAACCCGAGGACAGAAAGCTGTCCCTTTTCCCTTCAGTAACACACCTGCCCCATTCTGCTGATGTCTCCTTCCACAGACTCCTCTGTGAAAGCAGGAGGATGATGTAGGCTTGAATCACTGTCCTCCATACATTTAAGGTTATCCCAGCTCAGAAAAATGATTCCACAATCCTTTGTGTGAGGAACATTATAAAATCCCATTAGGTTAGCTACCAGTCTTTAGGCAAGTGCAGTATTGTAAGCGTGCCACTAAAGGAGGAGTTGCACATAGCAAGTTAGATTCATTCCTCACATATTAATAGGCAGCTCTGGTTTCTCCCTCCCTCACAGCCAGGAAAATGTCCTGCTGGATCCAGCTGCCCCACGATGGCACCTTTCCGCTCTCAGATATTTGTTTTGACACTGTCCGTTGTTAGATCCAGTTGCAGCAAGCGGATATGGAAACAGCAAAGAGCAGCAGCAGTTCCCACTCCTTCAGCCCCTGCTCCCCTTCCACCACCCTGATTTACCGGGGGCTCATAAACACAGCAACAGAGATTTACCCTGAAACAAAAGCCTAGAGCACGGCAGAAGACACGCATTATTCACTCTCTCTGCAGCCTGACCTGCTGTGCGCTATTAAAAATGCAGCTACTTCTAAAATTACTCAGAGCGTGTATCCCTTGCTACAACTCGCAGGTTCGTGCGGGCTGACCCAGGCCAGCAAGGATCTGTCAAATTTAGGCGAGGGTAAGCACAAGCCGGAGGGAAGGCAGGGGCCGCGATCTGCCTTATCCTCCGCCCATCCTCTCTCCCTCAGTGGCGGAACCGCGCGGGCTCCGCGCCCACCACCGACTTTCGTGCTGGCAAAGCCCCGCCGAGCGGGGAGAGAAGCTGGCGCAGGGGGGACGGGGAGCCAGGGCAGCCACGGCCGCACACGTCTGTCGCTTCGAAGTTTATATTGATGGGGTTATAGGAATAAATAATAATAAGAATTAATAAAGTTACGAGTTGGCGCTCGTCTGCCCGGCGCCGCTCCCTGGAGCCCACCCACCCGCGCGCGTCCGCCTCACGCCAAAGCCGAAACCCCTGAGGGCGGCGGGGCCGGGCTGGGCGCGGCCCTTCCCGCCCTCCCACGGCACCTGCGACCACGCCTGCCCCTCAGGCAATGCCTCTGTCACTGCCGACCCGCCGCCGCTCACCGCCAGCCCGACCCCGCCACCCCCCAGCCGATCCCTCACTCACCGCCGCCGCCCGCCTTTGTTGCCGCCGCGGCCGAGGCATTTAAGGCGCTGAGGTGGGGGGGGCGGGGGCTGCCGCTCGGGGGAGGCGCCGCCGCCAGCCCGGCTAGCTAGGCGGGCACGGGGCATCCTCCGCACCGGCGCCGTCCTCCCACCACGGCAGAGCTGCGGAGAGGAGGAGCTGTGCCTCTGACCGGCCGCCCCCGTACAGCACAACCCAGCACAGCCCGGGCACCCCTTTAGCCCTGGCAGCGGTGACACCAGGCTGGGGAGGGTCTCGCTCGGTGCCGCACGTGTCTCCACGCTCCGCAGCACCCTCGGGTGGGAGCCCCACCGCTGGCCCTGCCCACCGGCCTCGGGGATCTCGCTCTGGAAAGGCACAAAAAGCGATCGTCCCCAGTTACTGGCACGGGCAGAGCTGCCATCCAACTCCATCACTACGGACTCATTTTGAATAGACACTGCAGATACGTCAATACTTCATTAGCGAGCCGCAGGCAGCCTCCCTCAGCACCTATTTTGGGGCCGCCCCGGGAGAGCCCTCTGGCCTACGGCTCTCTTGGGTCCACCAAGGGATGCCCGTGGCACGGAAAATGGGGCACATGGCTACTGGCTGGCTTAAAATTGCCTCAGCCTTTAACTACTTTCAGCCTCTTCCCTGTCAAATGTACAAGCACGAGCAGGGATCTGCGCGTGCAATACATTTTGCCAAACTGTGTATTAGTCAGCGTCCAGGCAAAGTAGCCTGATTATTGTGATCATAATAGCTTGAACTCTGGGTCCTGGCCATGCAAGCCAAAAACAAAGGTCCTGCTTAAATCAGCACCAGTCCCCATTGTGGGCAATCAGGGCTGCAGGAGATGGTACATTGTACCTATCCTGGCTGCTGCACTTCCACTGCTCAACTGGAAAGAGCAAGCAAACTGTTTCTGAGGTGTATCCATGTTTTTCCACTTTGAAAGGAGTCAGCATCTGGTCTGGGGTTATATCCTTCAAGTTTGTGTCCAAAATCAGCATCTCACTGTGCATTATTCCCACCTTGCCTGGAGATGATGTTCTGCTGCACAACGTACCTCTGCTCCCACTGGACAAAGCAAGATCTTCCCAAGGGCTTTCCAACAGCAGAGAAGATGAAACATCTGCAAGGACAAGTAAAGTATTTCCAGATAAACCCTCAGAAAAGAAATAACCCACAGTGCTGTTGCAGAATGCAAGTTCACACTGTAACCCAGGTACTTTCCCCAGGTACTCCCGTTAAGGCTGGTACCAGTCTGAACCAGGCTCCGGGGGAGGGGGGGAATCGAAGGGGGAGACACGGCTTTCATGTGTGATGCAGCCAATTCCTGGTTGGAGAGGGCTGCATCCAGGAGAGAAGCTGTATAAGGAGCTCTCTGCAAGCAGTTTGATGCACTGCCTGGGAGAATCAGGGGAGCAGATTCTTGATGCTTGCCTGGACCAGGCTGGGGCACAGGGCTTGGTCCTGGACAAGTTTACATACAGCACCCTGTGCACTTCCGGCCCCGTGGCTGAGAGCACTGTTGTTGGAGCATGAGCACCGGAGCTGAGGTTTCATAGCAGGCAGACACTTTCCTGCACAGGCAAAGTCGTTTAGGGTACTTCCTGGCCTTTATAAGCTGGTTAAACTTTACATATACGCTGAACCCAAAGGCAGATGAGTGTCTGCAGCTTCTTTGAGTAGGGACCTAAGTGAGACAGGCAGCTGGCCAGCCCACATTTACCACTAATTGGGGTATGTTTATGTGGATATTTGCTCAGGAAGGTTTTAGCCTGGGCCAAGATCCTTCACTGAGCATCTTCCCAGTGCTTTTGCACTTAGATTGTGTGGAGGTAGGTACATGCTGTCCATGCAAGGAGATGCACAAAAGCCTCCTGCCCTTCCCTTTGGGGGCTCCAGGTTGGGAACATTGGAGTGTTCCCCTTTCTGCCTCCCCCTCCACCCACTCCTCTTTCGCAGAAGTCCCCTTCTTGCTGGTCCTTGGCTCCATCTCAGGTTCCTCCTGGGCTGCACTGCTTGCAGGATGGATCATAACAAGTTCACCTGCCTGGATAGTACAGAAATCCCCAAACTACTGTAAGCAGTTCCCCTCCCCTCCTGACACTGTTCATCCCTCCCTTCTTTCTGTATCAAGGTTTCAGACCATGACGGTGCCAGAGGAAGGACCACACATGGCGGAAGGAAACCTTCCCCTACCTTTGGAAATGCTCATAAAATCTGCAGATAACCGAAAACAGTCTGCTGGAGTCCAGGAGCCTCGGAGTGGGGGGTGAACCTCACCCACTCACCTTGCCATGGCCCCGGGGAAGCAGCAGAGGAGACCACAGGGGAAGCAAGGGAGAGCATCCAAATTCCAGAGAGATATGCTGAGCTGTGCTGGCTTTTTCAGGCTGATGACTCCTACCTTCCAGCAGAGCTTCTTTATGGAGAACAAAGCTGGCATCAGCATCTTCATCCAAGCCATTTTTTTTCTATGCTGCAGAAGAACTAGCAGTTCAGGGAAAAGTGCTGGGAGTCATCGTCATTGTTCTCTATTTGTCAGTCTAAAGAGATGAGCAGACTCAGAAGAGGAACAGGATAAAAAGGTGGCTGTTGTCCTAGCGTGCTCTTGTCCTGTATCAGCCACATCCCAGGCCAGTTCAGGGATTCTTGTACCCCCTCAGCATTGGCAGCTGCTGCTAGATGTCCCAGTGTTACTGATTCTCCAGATTCTCCAGTGTCCAGTGCCCTCAGTGGCTTTGGTGGAAAGCAGCAGGCACATCTGGGTGCTGGCTGAGAGCTTTGCCCCCAGGGCCATATGCATGTGACTTCTAGTCATGACTGAATCAGTGGGGAGGGGGCACAATTACCTGTGCATTGCTAGAAACCTCCCAGATGAGCACTCAGCTGCTCAATGAAGTGATTAATATTTATGCTTCATGCCTGCTAATATTAGAAGTTCGGGAACGGTAGGTAATGCTTTTATGGAGCTGTTAAAAAGAATCTTACTCAAAGACTCCTTTACCAAGAGGCCTATAAAGGTGGGTTTGAGTGTCTTTTACATGAAAAAAGTATTTTGTCACATCTTCAATCCCTTAATTCCTTGCTTAAAGCTCTAATAGCTTTATGATAAAAAGTTGCCACCTTCTCAACTGCTTGACCTGATTGTCCTTGAACTGCAGGCAAACCACACATGCTTGGGCAGAGCAGTTGCAGGGAAGTCCCACCATGCTTGGGATGTGCAATGGCAGAAATTTTCTCCTGGAGCTTCTGGCTTCAGTGAAACCAGCTAACAAAAAATATTGAAACTAATCTCAAAAACCCACATTGTCCGTCCTTGCTGCCAAAACCTGCATTCTTGACAGAGGTTTGTCTAACGTGGTCCTAAAAACATCTATTGGTGGAGACGTACCAACCTGTGTCTTTTCCAGTGCTTATTTATCTTGCAGTTGGAAAGCTTCTCTCAATGTCTTTTCAAAAATATTATTGCAATTTTCCCCTATTCCCAGTGGGAGACCAATTTACTGCCTTACTCTGTGGTAGTCTTTTATACTCTTAAAGACTTAACTCATCTCCCTAGTCCTCCTTCCACTGGATTAACCAATGCTAGTTCACTCCGCCTGTCCTCACAGGTCACATTTTCAAGTTCTCCAGTCTTCCTTGCTGCCCATCTCCAGTTCCTCTCCAGTCAGGCTTTATCTTTTGACACCTGTCCTGAAGCCTGCCCTGGTTTGAGCAGAGGGTAAGGGTTGGACGGGATGTAAAAGTGCACTTCTGTCTGCATTCTCCATTTCACTTCCTTTGCTCACAGGGGTGTTGGCAGCTTCTGTTCAGCCTGCTATGGTCTGTGCTGACCAAGGATTTTTTAGGATGATCAGTGCCCAGCCAGCCCCTGGCCAGGATTCCCAGGCAGCAGCAGCAGCCAGACCCCTGCTCAGAGAGGGACACTGAGCAGAGAGGAGCATGATGCCACTCAGCCTCCTTGCCCTCCTGCACACATTTCTTCTCCTGGCCCATTTAGGAAGTTTGGATTCTTGCACAGGCAGGATAAGTCTTGTTTTCTCAATCCCCATGGCTGCACTTTCCAGGCAAAAGTGAAGAAAAACAGGAGTTAGACCACGGTGTTTCTCCCCTTGGCCAGCTGCAGTCTCCTGGGGCTGAGCGAGGCCACCAGAGCCCGTGATTCATTATGCCTGTGTTGCATTTCTGTCTTTTGTTGGGACACTGCTATTCAATAAAAATGTGATGCATTTGACTATGGCAGAAACGGCAGACTCCAGGCAGCAAGAGCAACCAGAAGGGAGGATGTATAATCCCTACTGGCACACACGCAGTGTATACACATAGCAACAATTAGGCAGGTTCAATTGTTTCAGATCACAGTCTCAGATGTTAAAAATGCAAGTCCACACACAGCCCAAGCTAAAACAGGCAGATCCCCTTTTTTTTTTCCTGGAAAATTCTGTGTCCCTGAGTTGTCTCCTATAGAAGAAAGCAAAATCTCACTATGATCCTGGAATTATCTGCCTGCGAATGGGTAGCACAAATCCCAGCAGCCTGTGGGCCAGGCTTTCTTCTGCAATTCTACTGCACAAGCACAGAGTTTAGGGTGGCACAGCAGCCTCTGAACTTGCATCCTCCCTTCATCTGTCAGAGGAGGGAGGGGGGGCCAGAGGATGAGCTGGGACGTGGTTCACCGGGGATGCACCTTTGTCTGCTCAGCTCCCTGTCAGAGCAGCCCAGGTTCCCCTTTGTGCTCAACAGCAGGAGCCAAAGCTTGAGGGGAAGGTTAAATACATGTCAGTTTAAATACACGGCATGTATTAAATGCAGCAGTCACTCCTCCCTCTGCCCAGACACCTCATGTACCAGGGCTTGGCAGGGTGCTGGATTCACTGCATGATCCAGCCCCTAACCAGCAGTTTGAGCAGAGCCCATCACAAGAAGTCACAGAAGTGAGGTTTTCTCCCATGTAGTTGTGGTCACAGTGACTGACCACACTGGTCCTCTGCCTCCAGGGGCCTGTGCCATGGCCTGGGTGCAGCACAACCCCACATACACTGTTTTA